TCAATCTGGAATGATAATTTCAATTCCTCAGTCAAATTTCTCAATTAGACTTTTTGGGGATTAAGGTGAATGGAAAACCTCGTTTGAATTTGTCCTGTGCTAGATAGATGGTCATGTAATTTTAACAGTCACAAAGAATCCGGGATTTAATGGTATGGAATCATGGCTTGAAGATTCATAATTCCTGCTTGACCAGTTATAGCTAATGCATTCATTTGTAGTAATCTAGATAACTTAATTTCTGGATTGGAAGTATTAATCAACTGTGCTATAGCTTTGGGAGGGTTGTATATTCCTTGAACTTCTGCATAGATATTCAGTGAGACTTTAGTCCTGAACACGATCTGAGATCTTTTACATCTTTCCTAGTTTTAGATTTCAACTCTTCCCAACAAAATAATTGTTTTCTTCCTTTTCCAGTATCCATGTAGCATAGTCTTTTAATATTTTATGTCAAAAACTGTAATACTTACAGCAGCTATGAAACTATAATTTGGGTTCAGGTATGCCAGGCTTTACTGCTTATGCTGGGTTCTACGAGGTTTGTGCTCCCAAAAAGGGGGACTATGTTTTTGTCTCTGCTGCCTCTGGGGCAGTTGGTCAGCTTGTTGGCCAACTTGCAAAGTTGCATGGCTGTTATGTAGTTGGGAGTGCTGGAACAAGTGAGAAAGTAAGTCTCTTGTTGTACCAAGATACCATTCTTTCAGATATTTATGTTTATTTTACTCGTGTATCATGTCAACAGTTCATCTACGTTGCTTAAAACTGTTGGCACCATTTCCGTAGAAGCTGATTTTGCATACCATTAGGTTGATATTCTGAAAAATAAGCTTGGATTTGATGAGGCTTTTAACTACAAAGAGGAACAAGACCTTGATGCAGCTTTGAAAAGGTGAGTGGAAGTGTCAGTTAACAAGCGAATTAAGTCGCACTCTCACTTTTCAATATCTTACTCAGGGGAAAAGCCAGAGCATATAGGTAAAGGCTTTGTTGCTTATTGCGTCTCCCAGTGAACTAGATTATTGTGCCTACTACATTAGTTTCATCATATGTTTAACTTCTCCTTCTGTAGTCCAATCTTGTCACAGTTCAATAGATGATTTTTGTGTCTCGTTCTTATCAAAGCACCTATCCTTTCTTTGAACAAGTCAGTTTAAGTAGTATTTCTTCCCATGTCAAAGTTTTCCAAACAAAATGTTTCAGATCAAACATCACATGCACTTCATTATTTTTATCTTGAAGCACCTTTTTTTTACTTTTAATGATTTACCAATATTACACTGGTCAAATGTCTTAAACTAAAACCATATCCTTATACTCCACTGAGCAGATACTTTCCAGAAGGCATTGATATCTACTTTGATAATGTGGGTGGAGCCATGCTCGACGCTGCTCTTCTTAATATGAGAATTCATGGTCGGATTGCTGTCTGTGGGATGGTGTCTCAGCACAGCATTTCCAGCCCAGAAGGACAACATAATTTGCTTGCCCTGATATCAAGACGCATAAGAATGCAGGGTTTCTTGCAAAGTGATTACCTGCACCTATTTCCTCGTTTTCTGGAAAATGTCATCAGTCTCTACAAGGAAGGGAAGATCGTTTATATAGAGGATATGCATGAAGGACTAGAAAGTGGTCCTGCTGCTTTTGTTGGCTTGTTTTCTGGAAAAAATGTGGGCAAGCAGGTTATCAGAGTTGCCTATCACTAATACAAATCACTACCACTGCCCCTCCTAGAAAATTGAACGCTTTTTGGTCTGCAATTGGATTATGAAATAACAATTCTCAGTACTTTAACTGAGATGAAAGTTCTTGATCTTCTTTTGAAGACACTTGTCTTGTTTCTCTGGAACACTTGTACAAGTTACCTCAGGTTGAAGAAATGTTGGAAATGCTCCTATATGATGTATAGATAGATGGTCTTTTATGCTAAAAAGTAATGCATGCCTGGTATTCAGCAATGTGTATTATCTTTTTCAACTCGCATTGAATTTACAGCATCATTAACATCAAAAAAGGAGTTTGAGAATGAGTGTCATAACTTCTTCTTTTTGTTCTCTTTTTCTTTCTTGGTCTTCTTTCATCCAAAGTTCATCAGGTCCTTTTAAGAGCTTCCCTCAAGTAAAGGGGCACTAAGCAATTAATTAGCCAAAACTAATGAAACCACAAAGAACTTGTCAAGAACATTGTTAGCTGCACAAACGCATCAGAAAGGACGATTGAACAGTCACCCAAACCACAAAGTAGTATTCATATAAACACAGGGTTGTAAAAGTTGTCCCAAATTATTATTTTTTTTAGTTTTTAATAATTTGATCAAGGGATAATATCAGAAACCTCCCCTGAGGTTTCTTCAAATATCACTTAGCTCCCCCCACATTTTAGAAATCTCTCTTACCACCCTTTGAATTGACATTTTCTTAATAATGTCAGCCCCTCTGAGCAAAAGTAACATTAGAATATTGGTTTTGGAGGAAGGAGAGTATTTTAATTCCCCTCATACCCTTAGTTTGACTGAATCCTGTGACATAAAAAAGTTGCAGTAGGTGGAAAATGTGAATTGGAGATAAATTTCCTGGTATGAGCACTGTTGCATGGCCGTTGGACATGCAACGGCTACTTTGAGTGAACCGCATGAAAGGTGAGGGAAAAGCAACGGCTACTTCCAGTGGTATTAAAAGGTGAGGGAACCGCATGAAATAGCTGCAAAACTTAAAGAGGAAAGCAAGCAAAGAAATGGCTAGTTCATCCTTCCAAGGTCAGTCATACAATTCACCTTCATCATTAAGCATGAAGAACCGGTATTGTAAATGCAACCGCAAGGCTACATTACGAATCTCAGAGAGTGAAAGAAATCCAGATAAGCTATATTTTAGTTGTTCAAAGTGCAACTACTTCAAGTGGTATGAAGGAAATGAAGGCGAAGAGTTGCAGAGGCAAAGAAATGGAGGTGAAGAAGTGCAGCGTACAAGAAATGAAGCTGATTCTGCAGTGCTTCCATTGAGGAAAGCAAATCAGGAATGTAACTTTGTGCCTCAATAGAATGCATGCCTCACTTTCTTATTCATCATCAATCTTGTACTCTTAGCAATTTATCTTTTCATTCAAATTGTTAAAGCAATCCCAGTTTCTTGTTCCAGTAATAGTAGATGTGTTCCAAGCTGTTTGGAGCCTTACTGGTCATACATGAAAGAACCAGAAGGCATGTGTAACTTGGACATGATGTTAAGCTATGTGAAAAAGAGTTGAAACTATTTTTTACTTCATACGTATGCCCTCCATATTTGTTGCCTATCAGTGTTATACCAAAAGTCATACTTAACAGAAAATGCATTAAGCTATCAGGTGCAGTTCCTTAGGTACAATGTGTCTCTCCTGCTAAGTTCATTGGAAAACAACAGTACTAGTTTCACACGTAATCCTGAGGAATCAGAGTCATAAAGTTAAAAAAAAAAACACAGCATGACATCTTTGAAGGCTTACAAATTCCATACATAAAGGTAATAAGTCATATGCTCCAAGATCTATGGGTAGCAGCAGAGCATACTTGTGTTGAGGAATGCTGCAATTCCTAAACATAAGTACCAAAACATATGTCTTTGAAGTCGTTCACTAGGACTGGGAATGCAATTAACCACTTGCATCCACATTTACAACTAAACAAAAGTATGTAGCAATCAACAAGAATCTCAGAAAGCATCATCTAAAAACATCATTCTAGATGATGAGGAATGCTACGTATACAAATGTACCAGATCAGTCTCCTAAAGCAAAACTCATAATACTAGTACTAATTAGAACCTCATACTGATGTTGCTATTGTCAATGTGAGATCCCATACCAGCAGAAGTGGATATTGAAGATGCAGTGACTGCTGGAGTTTGTTCTGAGCCAACAGCAATGAAAGGTCTGGCTCTCTTATTAGTGTTAGCAACAGTAGTTCCAACCCCTGCATTTAGCCCTCCTCTCTGAAGCCATGCAACAAATGTTATTAAACTAATGACTGGTCGACAGTTAGAATAGTTAGCAATAGGTGCTGAATCTAATTTCTGATTAACTATACCTTTCTGGTATTAGTACTAGTGCAGGCAGAATGATTAAGTTGAACATGAGCTCCAGCAACATGATTTTGAGTGCTTCCATTACTGCCTTGACTTGATACAATGACTGGGACATTTTCTTGTGCATGTTCCTGACAAATCAGATCCAAAAGCTAAGCTCATTTGCAAGGAATTAATACACATGAAGATACTATAATTTGACATTGCTTCAATTACCCATAGAACAGATCCTGCTAATCCAGTATTGGCAATGCCTCTTCTTGGTTTTCCTCTTCGACTTGCTACCTGATTTGTAGAAGTACTGCTGCCTCTTTTTTCAGCAACAGGAGTTCCTTAACAAGTTCTCCTATTATGTCCAAATCTGCCGCACTTTGAGCACCTGAAACTGATTGATCTCTTGTGTTGAGGTGCAGGAGCTCCTTCATCAGGTGCTCTTCTTCTATTTCTTCTTGGTCTACCAGCTCTTCGTCTAAGTGGTGGTGGCAAAACTACTACTGGTGTCACATCTTCCATTCGAGGCCACCTATTCATATGTGAAATTGGGTTGATCATGAATGCATACATTTTCAAGTATTGATCAATGGAAAAGGCTGCATCACAGTAGTTTTCCAGTTTCTCCCTTCTATAAATAGCTCCTAGTGCAGCATGCTTGCAAGGAATGCCAGTCAACTGGAAAGCCCCGCATTCACATGTCCTCTCAGTCAACTTGACTATATAGGACTTATCATAGTCTGCTACTTCAAACGTGTTGTCACTTGCCATTATCAGTGAACACCTTCTTGATTCAGTTGCAATATCCTTCAACTTGCCAATAACATGTGGAGTAATACTAGATGTCCATGTGCAGCCTTTTTGATATCTCTTATGCAGTTTTTTCATGAATTTTTGCCTCAGTCCTTCAGCCAGAGCAAGTATAATTTTTCCTCTCAGTTCTCCAACTCATGCATTAAAAGATTCTGTAAAATTATTGGTGACATGATCACACTTAATTTCAACAGAAAATGCATGTCTTGCCCAATTACACTTAGGAATGTTTGCCAAGTATCTCCAAGCATCTATATTAATATTTTTTATTCTTTCCATAGTCTCATTGTGTCCTATCAAATCATAACTTTTAGCTGCTTGCCAAAAAAATCTCCTTAGCAGTAATCTTGGAAATTTGACTTTGAAGTTGCAGTAGATGTGCCAACAACAATATCGTGCAGTAGCTTCAGGCATTTGTTCCTCATAAGCAAGGTTGAGTCCCTATACAGAAGTTTCAGAAACAAATTCCTTCAAACACTTGATTCAGCCACTATAACAGCAATGGAGAAAATCTGAAACATGAAAAATACAGAAATATAAAACATACCTTCTGTCTATCACTCATGAAGGTGAGTGGAATATTGGCTGGAAATGGTCCAAAGAATTCCTGGAAATAATAAAAAAACCAACTCCAAGCTTCCTTGTTTTCACACTCTACAACAGCAAAAGCTAATGGAAACAAACTATTGTTCCCATCAAGAGCAACAACAATCAACAGAATGCCCCCAAATGCACCTTTCAAATGGCAGCTATCAAAGCCAATAAATGGCCTGCAACCTGCCAGGAAACCATCTCTTTGTGCCTTGAAAGAGACAAACAATCTTAGAAATTTAGGCTCTACCAGAACGTTTGGCCTATCATAGTGAATTTTCATGATGCTTCCTGGGTTGTGCATCCTCAATAGTTCAACATATTTTGGTAATTTTTCATAGGCCTCACTGTGTGATCCTTCTATCTGTTCCAAGGCTTTCTTTTTTGCCCTGTAAATTTGCATTCTACTTGGCAAGACTCCATGCTTCTGCATTTCAGCCTTTACTCCCTTGCTTGTCATCTCTGGGTGATCTCTCATAACAGAAATTAACTTCTTTGTTATCCAATCTGATGTTGCTTCTGAATTTTTCCTATTCATGACACACGTATGCTCAGGTGTATATGTCTTAACCATGAATGTGATTGTATCACCAACTGGAGATGCATAAATCCTCCAATTACACCCCTCAGCACCACACTTGGCAGTGCACCTGCTCTTTTCATTTTTTAACCTCACCAATGGAAATCCTTTTTGAATAGCATAGTCCTTCAACACTGCTCTAAATGCATCCACATTGGTAAATAGCATCCCTTTCTCAAACTCAATGTCCTCTCTTGGATTGTAAGTCCACATTTTTGACTGCATGATTGATCTCATAGGATCAGTCTCTTGGTCAGATTCTGAATCAGGGACAACTTGTGCATCCTCTATTTCCTTATAATCAGACAAGTCATTTTCCTCCTTATCACTACTAGAAATTAAGGTCCTATCTTCAGCTATGACATCTTCCAAGTCACTATCTATGTCATCCTTCCATGAGTCATCAGAACTAGAAGCATAAATCTCATCATCACCCTCACTGTCAACTACAGGAATAGGAGTATTTTCGATTCCTATGTCTTTCTGTGCCACAATAAGTTGGTTATTCCTGTAATCTACCATATTCTCCTCTGTAGTAGGAATAATAATATCCAGGTGCAGCAAGTACAAGTTTATAACAAGATCATTTTCATGAAGTTTGCACATATCAAGAACTGATTTGTCACTACTGATGTCCATAAAGCCTGTTGTCCTAGGAATCGCACATTTCATATGCACAAGCATGTTCAAATTTTCAGACAAATCATTCATTGCCTTATCAGTAACATTACCAAGAAGGTCAATATATTGGTAGTTCTTTGGATCGACATTAGGAATTCTGACAGTGTTTCCCATGTAATGGACTAGAATATCATGTGCAATAATTCCTTCCATCCTACATATCAGTGTGTTTGCAAGAAAAGTTTGAATCAGTCGCTATCAGGATCACATATTCTCACAAGGGACATGGTATAACACACACATGCTTAATCAAAGTCAAACTCAGGTTGCAAAGCTAAGCTACAAAGTTAAGCTACAAAGCTAAGCTGTTCTTATGTATTACAGCTTAGCTTCAACTCAATATTCATCAACTTTTTTGAACCAATAAAATAAAGGTCAAGCATAGTTCATCAAATCAGACATTCTTTACAGCATCCAACATTAACAATACTTAATATAAGGATCACATACAAAGGCTCTGGTTGGATGTTAAACTCGGCCATCAAGTCCAATAAACCACAAAAACACAAGGAAAACAGAGATATTATAGGCAAATCATGAAGAACAGTTCATGACACCTGCATTTTCTCCTGTTACATGTTCATCATATCAACTATCAATGGAACTCATCTAGAGCAAGTCCAACAAAATAGAAAAACACAAGAAAACAGAGATATTATAGGCAACTGATGAAGAACAGTTCATGGCACTCGACAAGTTCTCCTTCTACATGTTGATCATATCAACTAGAAATGGAAGATTTTTACCTGTTGTGCAGCTCAATTTTGACAAAATCACTTTCACTCCAATCGAACGCATGGAATTCAATACTTTGCAATATTTGTCCTCCTCTGCAATATCCATGGACCAATTTCCAGAAAGATACTATCAAATAACAATCACAGTTATAAGTAGTATTTCATTCCTCTTCATTTTCCGGGCTATTAGACGTCTTATCAGAGCAAAATGGAGCCATGCAATTCGTACGGAACTCAGCTTCTATGCGGCAATGCTTTCCCGGGCTTTATACAGTTCCATGCTTGCTCTCTCAGTCATTTTTTGCATTTTATCAGCTGAATAAGTTAACAGCAAAGCAAAGGGTATTATTGGCAATTGATTAGATTTCTTGTTGACTGCTGACCCATTATCACTTGAGGGGTAGTAAGAGAGATTTCTAAAATGTGGGGGGAGCTAAGTGATATTTGAAGAAATCTCAGGGGAGGTTTCTGATATTAGCCCTTTGATCAAATAATAAATTCGTCATCTATTAATTTGCTTTCTAAATTCTTTTTAGTCGTGAAAGAATCAAATATTTAATTGCACTTATTTTCTGATATATTTCCTTCACTCATATATTGACTTGCCATCATCATTAATTAGAGTATATGTAATTGAATTACTAGATAAGATTCTACTGAAACTAATTATTAAGTTGTTATAATTTAGCTATTTTTAATATATTTAATTTTAACATTTGTCTTACAATTAGTATATTAAATTTTATAAAATAGTATTTTAAGTTCTTTTATAACAATTCTTGTTCAAAAAAATATAAAATTATAAAACATAAAAAGTGCTTGTGCGAATGCACAAAAAAGAAACTTGTTCCGCAGTATTTTCCACTCTAGTTCCTCACAAACCTCATTCGCGCGTATTTTATTAACTTTTTCCTTGCATGTACGTTATTCATGTGTGCACGCCATCCATCTTGAAATTCAACCACATTTATACTGTCACACGTGTCGAGCTGTCTTGCCATGACCAAAATTTAGATGAACCTGGTTTTCATAGATTCAATGATCCAAATTGTACCATATCACTTGATAAAATAGTATGACACAATCTAGACTATTAAATATTTGAAAATCGAATCTACTCAAGCATCGGCCGTCCAGCCATTACCTATTACCTAGGGTAGGAACGGTCAACGGGTTCCTACCATAAAGGGGTTGGGGATCCCTTAAAGCACAGTTTATCACTTCAGTACGATGATGTCTTTATTAGCACAACCAAGATCTGGCGGTGGTAGCTTTGGGGTAGGTGAAAATATAACAATAATGCCACCGCCTCAGGTACCTAATAGGAGTATTTTTTTTTTCTACTTAGGGGGTATCCGGGTTTCAGGTATGCCGGACCCGACTAATCCCCCTGAACCCCGAGAGGAGAGGCCCCATCCCCTCGAACCGGTAACCACTGGGACTCGATCCCTGGTGGGAGAAAATGGACAACGGGACTTTAGGAGGCTTCCCGTGACCAACCGAGCTGCCCAGGAGGGGCACCTAATAGGAGTACTTGCTTATGTTTCTTTTTTTAATTTAGGTGTTGGGGTTAAGAAAAATTTTGTTGATGTCTATACTATATGTAAAGTTTGAGGAAAGGGTTTAGGGTTAATATTGTGATTAACATTTATTTTTATTTTACGAACTTTCTTTTTTTTATTCTTATATGAATTACTTTTATTTTAACTATCTATAACTACCTATGACTATTTTTACTTTTAACTATTTAAATATATGTTTTCAACGTAGCTATCCCTTCTTAAGTAATAAAAATTTTATTTAAAACATATAATCATAAATATTATGTATTTTTTGATTGCACGTACATTAGATGTGCATTGAGTATTAGTCCCTAGTAATGTGTGAGATGTCAATTTACATATTCCTAACAACTAGTATTAATTAAACAAACCAATGATAAATATAATCCGTAATTATTATAGTGACTACAAGTACTTTGAATGGGTTAATGAATTAGAAGTTGATTGGAAATGGGATCTTTTTTTTACATAAATTCCTTCTTCATCAAAATAAATTCCTTGTTTGTAGAATTCTTTTAAAAGATGGAACTGAAAATCTTATTAAATTTGTTAAAGGAGAAATAGTGCAACTGCAAAACTCTTGCTTCTAAATATTGACCCTATGTATCCATGCTTGTGAGTCCAACGACGGGCAAGCATTGAGCTAGAGAGAGGCGGGGAGGGACAGCCCTCTCTCAAATTTTAGAAATTCATCTTTTTTTTTCCTAAAATTTTGAAGATTTTAAAGCTTCCTTTATATGCTTATCTGTTTGCTCCTCGAAAAATTTTCAAAAACTTCTATATAGACTCTAGAGTTTACATGTGTATGTATTTGGCCTTCTTAGGTTAAATTTTTTAGTTAATTCTTGATAACCAATGTTTTAAGCCCAGACCAGAAAGTGAATCAAAAGAGCTTTCAATTCACGATTCAATCGGTTCGACCGATTCAACTTCAGTTCAAAAGTTTAATCTTTTTTTATTTATTTATTTTAGTATTAAAATTTTGAACACAATTAAAATATTTTTTAAATTTAGTGAATTTCAGTTGAACCTTTCAATTTTTATCGATTTTTACTGATCCAACCAGCTCTTGACTGAGTTTAAGGATGGCAATGGAGCGAATTTGGAGCGAGAGAGCCTGTCCCAATCCCCCACGTCTCCCATCTCTGCCCTACCCTACTATCTCGTGGGGGACATAACGATATTTTGTATATTTGATCTTATATTTTTTATACTAGGAGCGAAGCCCATGCAAGATGCAAGAGTGAGTATTTGTTGTGAATACTTGTAAATAGTAAAATTATAATTTAGTTGTTCTCAAAAAAATTTTAAACCGATTGGAAATGTATCCTAAACTACATAAAGCGCGGAAGCTTCATCTACAGTGGATTGTGCCAGTTTCGCTGTGATTTTGCAGCACATTTCGTCCTTTTTGGTCTTTTGGCAGGCTCCATGCAATGACTTTGGTTCCTGGTGCGCTTTTCCTCATTTCTGCTTTTGTTCCCTTCTTCCGATTGTGCCCTTATCCTGGTTTCTTTGTAATTTTGTGGCCAATTTTGTCCTTCTGTTTCTTCTGCATCTTCCACTGCTGCAATTGTTATCTAACTTAATTTTGCAATCCATTTTGTCCTTTTTGCCTGGCGCATCTTCCACTGCTGGGCTAATTGATTAGAATATAGGTGTAAAAAAGAAAAGTCAGACACTTGCGGATCTGACAGAGTCCATGTATAAAACTATGGGTACCGGGCTGAGACAGCCCGGCACTTGACAGACGCTTTTTTTTTTTTAAAACATGTCAGGTGCTGGGCTGAGTCTCAGCCCAGCACCTGACACTTTTTTTTTGAAAAAAGATGTCAAGTGCCGGGCTGACAGGGCTGTGTCAGCCCGGCACCTGACATCCAATTGAGTGAATTGCAATTCATCCAATTGAGTCAATTGAGTGAATTGCAATTCACTTTATTTGTTAAGCTAGTTGATAAATACAATTCACTTTAATTAGTTTAGTGGATTAATTAGTTTAATTAATTGAGTGAAGTAACTTTAAGAGATTCGATTAAATGCATTTAATTAAGGTGATGGTTTAATTTGTTATTTATTAAATATTCATTTATTTGTTATAAATGATTTAATTATTTAATTATAATGCATTATTTGTTGTTATTTGTTATTATTTGTTGTTATTTAATTACACTTTATTTGTTGTTATTTGTTATACTATTTGTTATTATTCGTTGTTATTTAATTGCACTTTAGTTGTTGTTATTTGTTATTATTTCTTATAATTATAGAATCACAATTATTTATTTATTTGTTATAAATTATATATATTTGATTCAATTAATTAATTATTCAAATAAGCATATTAATGAGGTTCTAAAATGCTATCAATACTCGTCTCTAATAGGTATAACATGTCAAGTAATAATTGCTTGGTGATTCAAGTATATTGGGGTGGAAAAATTATAAACGAATGAGGGTCAATTTCATATGATCCTTCTATACCGAAACAAGTGTTGTTCCTTATAGAGATGGTAGGTTATGATGATTTGGTAGACAAAATATATAATCTTTTGGGTTTAGATCGGAATCTTCTGGGTAGACAAAATATACAATCTTCATTACATGTTTGCTAAATATCAAATATTATAATATGGGAATTTAGCCTTTTATTATTTGAATGCTTATCGTTATTTTTATATTTAGCCATTTCACCGTTGTCACGCTATGCATTTTTCCCCTTTTTTTGGTCATTTTTTTATATATTGCACAATAAATTTAGTTTTATAAAATTATAGTGAACATTAAAAAATACATAAAAATTCTAACAAATTATTTCTCAACAATTTGAGAACTACATCTTATTACAAAATGAATG